AAAATAATCTCATGTTTCTTCCATCTATCTCCTTCTTTTACAATATTAGCATATACGTATTTTACTTGACAAAAACAAATTTAACACAAATTATGCCGACATGAAACCAAAAAGAAGAGTGAATTTGGATACATTTTACTTCCGACAATTGTGTAATTTTTTAACAAAACCAATACTTTCAATAGTTGAAATTATGAGTCAACTGAAGTTAGAACACCATGAAAAACCTGGAAATATTGGATAGCCGTTTCGTCCTTTTGTGGGAGTCAGCAGTGAGAATCCACGATCCTGCTCCCCCGCGAGGTTCGAACCCAGGACCTATCAGTCACACGCGCGAGCGCTTAAGCACTATACGACTGAGCCGGCATCCAACGGTGTTAATGTCTAACTTTAACTGATCCACGTAATTGCGTCACCGTACACTATTGTCTTCAGTGAGTTGATATCTCACAACAGACCTAGTTGAACTCCACTCGTCATTGCTTCTCACTAGAACTCTAGGAAATGCCTCTTGAAGTCAGTCACTAGTGGATCATGGATGTACACTGCTGAGGAGCTCCATACTACGACGCAACGGCCTTCCAGTGATTCCAGGTGTTTCATGGTGGTCTAGCTTCAATTGACTCATGATTTCAACTATTGAAATTACTAAAATGTCGACAAATAATTTTCTACAGATATAGTTTCAATAATCATCACGAAAGACATATACTTCTTTTTAAAAATTGTCATCTAGTTTTGAATATCGTATTTCAACATTATTTCTACAAAGGCATTTTTAAAGTAATCTTGAAATTTTGTGGCATGACATTGACAGTGTAGTGTCAGTTATCATATCAAGCCCACATACTTTATTCAAACTTTCGGACATCCTAATCTATTCATTCTATTTGAGTCATATTTCGACCTTGTCAATTATTCGCTTATCAGTCTTGACTGTTTTTATATGAGAGTATATGTGTGCACATTTCATATCCCATGTCTCATCACATGTTTGTAGTTTATTTTGTCTACTTATAAATATTGAGCAACACCTGGCTAAAAATGAATTGGCTTACCAGCCATCTCCCTTGCACGTCCTTTTTACTATGTTCTATCGCATTCACTTTACATACAAAATATATGTATACAAAAGTCCATTCTCGTTAATTGACTTATCTAAATTCCTTTATTGATTAACGTGATTTAAGTCGATAATTGTATACGAGGATAGGTGATAACAAACATTCTTGCGATCTACATGGAGTCAGATCCACAGGCCACTAAAACAGTTCACACCCAGAAAAGATAAATACCAACTTTTCTAACCCAAAAATCGTATCTCCACAAAATATCATAACTTAGACTCGATTTCTTCAGTGTATATCATCAAACCGTCGCAAAAAATATCTCATTTGTTGTTTACTATGAGTAAACATAGATTGTTAAAAATAAGTAGACATAAAAAATTTACACTTATATTTTTTTCTCTATGTACCCAAACCAATATCAAAGCGTTTCAAGCATTAATTGATATAATATATCTATCTTTATTCATTCAAAGCTTAGAAATAATTAAATAGAGACAAAAGTTTTATGCAATTTACACGTTTATTATATTCGTGTTATAAATAAATTCAACTACATCAAAGCTAAAACTTGATTTTATCGTATAGAATTTCATTTTCTCATAATGGTAATCTGATAAAAAAGCTTTAGGATATACCATTTGATAGTGTATTGTTATGCAAAAGTTTTTTTTATTTTTAACAGAAGTAAAGTAACGTCTTGAAAAAAAAGATACTTTGTGAACATTCAAATTCAAATTTATGTTATGTGTTCTTGATTATCTTGATAAAAGGCTGAGTTTCATTTTGATGGTTTTATAAATTGCAAATGACATCGTCGGTTTACAACTTATGAATACTAAATTTCTTTTATTAAAGAAAAATGTTTTCGAATGAACAGAATGTTTTTCATACTTTAAATACTTCACATTAGCACATAAGTAGAAGAGGAGAACAAGATGAGGATCAGAGGATAGGGTTTATCAATATCATGTTAAGTGAACTTCTAGAATTTGCAGATATAGTTTATAGGATGAAAATAACTTCCAAAATAAAGAAATGGGTGAATAACGTAAACCTAAAGGATGATAGAGAACAAATTCGGGGGTACATCGATTGATGGTATTGTCAGTCAACGTTGTCAATAATAGATTCTGATTATCCTTCGGATCCAAATATAAAAGAATATAGCAACGAAAATGAATGGGTTTGACGGCTAAAAATTTCAACCCCTTAATTTTTATATTTGTTTGGCTCTCCTAAGCTTTCTTACAACTCACTTGTGATAGGAAAGGGTTCCATTTGCGAAACATAATTCCAGCCAACCAAAAGCATGTGCACATATTTGTAAACTATTGAAATCTAGTGAAACACAGATTGCTAACTAACTGATATAAAATTTCAACTCATTTTTATCATCTTAAACTGTAATGCTGGATAAGTTAATTTCAAGTTCCGTGGAACCATCGATTCCCACAAGATTTCACATGTGCTTTAATAAAAAAACATCATCAGGCCCAAAACTTAGGTTCATAGTTCATATCAGAATGCTAATAAATAAATCACATATCTTAGTGAAACTTTATAATGCGTTTTGTCTCATATAATGGTTTAAGAATAGTTATGGGTAATATTGAAACTGTTAATGTTGAATACAAAATGGATATCAGTTATTTTTCGAAACTTGATAATGAAACCATTAGAAAATTAATGATGATAAGATCATGGGTTAAGCCATATAAATAGATAAAGGCAGATTCTTTAATCATAAATGAAAACGAAGCATGTAGTGAACAGAATTCGAACACTAGGTGTGCTTTATTTGTTGCCTTACCATTCTAACCGGTATTGATGATCATACTACACGTATTAATTCAGGTCAATGCAATCTAAACACAGTAATTTTATTCAAAAATAGGTTCATGATAGATATGAGCATTTAGTAAACCGTTAGTGATTCTGTTTAAAAAGGAATACTGATAATAACCAAAAAGTAGAAATATACTTAATTTATTGAAGAAAATGAAACTATCTACTATGTGAGATTTGTCTAATGATTTAATGTAAGCCTAATAAGGAGAGTAAAGTACAATTAGAAAACAGTTTTAGTCAAATATCTCATAAATTGTAACAAAGAATAGAATATCAATGTTACATGTTTTTAAATGCATAACCCTTGAAAAGTACACTAACAAACTGAACGGATTTGTGGATATATACTTATCTAGAATATTTAACTCCGCCTGTAGCCCTTCTAGAGTTCCTGCCGGTCCCAAGACCGGGTAAAGGTGGAGGGTTGGGCATGGGATTAGCGACCCCATCTCGTAGAAATCTAACTCGCTAAAAAAACGCCAACCAGAAAAAAATAATTCAAGTAGTATCTACTATATTTACCACATTTTTACTAAACATTCATGATGGTTTTCAACAATAAAATCATGATGATTACTGATTCGAATATTAAGTAACTCTATATACACTGATTGTAATAATAAAACGATATTTAGAATCAGTTCTCAGGTTAAACTCAAAATCTACAGGTATATCAACTCTTTTATAAAATGAAAACTACAATGATCAGTAAAGATGTCTGTTAGTACTATCCTAACAAAAATCGTGTTATCCTTCAACAAATACTTCAACCTCTAGAAAATGTAATTTCCACTATAATAGTTGTAGTATATTATTAGATTGAGTATAATTAAGAACAAATGGTAATAAGTCTACTTCATAGTATGAAATCAATATTTCGGGTAGGTATTAAATACTAGTTTCCAATTATTATTTATAATAATTCCATTATCTCGCATATTAAAAACGAAAACTGCTTAGCAACTCACTAAGAATAAAGTTAACAAAAAATTGATTTTTCTAGAGCTCTTCATAATACATTAGATGTTTATGATGAGACAAGACATATCTATCAAAATGTATGAGTGGACAACTTTATTTGTATAAATTGTTACGTCAGGTAGTTGTAAATTTGGATTGTTTTTTTTTTTATACAAAAACAAAAAGAATTTTGTCAAGTACGTAAACGTATTTTGCGCAATAAAAACGTTATTTATTTGAAAAGCTTAATTATACTAAATTATTTATTTCAGGAAAAGTTTGTAAATTATTGTTAAGTTACATTTTACAGAGTAGATATTAATCTATCAAGCTATAACATCTTAACTAACAAAATGGGCTGGTAAGTTCGTTTTGTCTCCTCATGGAGTAAATTGTTATTTATGTGACACGTATGGAGTTTATTTAAAATATGCTACTGAAATGACACTTAAATCACCTAAGGATTACAAAGTATTTGAAGGCTACAACTATTATCTATCTACCAATGAGATAAAATAAGGTTAGTATATTGACCTATGTTTAATCACATTATATTGTTTCCATTTAGAATAGAAAACACAACAAACATATTCCTTATTTATAAATAGTGTTATTTTATGGTGAAGACTTATTCAAGATTTCAGCTTGTCCTAAAACGGAAAAGTATTTGAGATCACTAGGTCTTATAAAAATATAGTTTTACTTGTACAATTTCATTGATTTGTACAATACAAATGCTTTGATTTAAAATCAATCAACTGTTTAAAGTAATTTTAGATTGTAAATTTTTGAACTTTCACATGGGATTCATTTGAAACTTTCCGCTTCTTTGTTGTTTATAATAAAGAAAAAAAACAAATCTATTCAAATTTAGTTTATACATCAATAAGTAATACTGTTAAAAAGATGAATTATACAGTTTGTTTGAGTTTTATGTCTACTTTTCGCTTCATAAACTGCTTTTAATTCATTGTAACATAGAATAAGGTTGAAGAGAAATTAATCGGACAATGAAATGAATACTTAATGTAATAATCATTCATGCATGAAATAAACTTGAAATTATTTCTTAGAATAGTAATTTGCAATTCATTAATATTATGAAGGTGTATATGAACTGACCTGCAAAACTGGTTGGCAATCTCCAATAATGGTTGTTTCAATCGAAATGCATAAGTTCCTGGTGAAGCATTTAATATAACATCATTCACTCCATCGTAATTAACATCTTCATATATTGGATAAAGATTTAGTTCAGATAATTCAATATCTATGTGAATTCCAGAATTTCTCATCTATTAATAGATTTGACAGTAGATAGAAAATAATTTTTTGTTTAATACAATATTATAAAGATTGAGTGAAAAGAAACTATTCCATGAAATATTTCACATTTTTAAATCTTAATAAACCAAGAACAATGACATTAGTAAAACTATATGAATTTATATAGTTTGCGGATTATCTAGAACTTCTTACAACCTATATGCAACTTTATAAAAGTTCTCTAAATTATTATCTCACTGCTCATAGCAATAATTAAATGTGGATAAATTCACGACAAATGTCACCCTCAATTATGTCTATCAGTGTATACATACGTAAAATAGTACATATACTGGGATAACAGGAAAGAAAGTAAGCGTCTATATTACGCACAAGTGGCTATCATTTTTATTATTCTAGTTGTTTATCATCTACTTGACAGTGAGCATAATATTGACTACTCAAAATCAATAAACTAAGGACTTTGGATATATCGTACTTTGCTGAAGCCGTTGTTCTCAAGAAAATCAAACTAATTTTATGCATTCTAAAAGATGCTGCTATCAGTCATGCTTGCCTTAGTAACTTCAGTTTTAAGAGTTTATTCAGTAATGTTGGTCATATTTTCTTTTATTATTATTATTTTACATTTTCTTAATTGAATACACATAATAATGATGGTAGTTGGAAACTTATGAAAAATGAAAGTGATAAATGTTTCACTGAATTTATTTAACATACAGTCCTTAAAAAAGGTACTGAATATGTTCAGTTAGTTACGATTTTCTTTTTATTGACCAATAATTTTTATGTTATAATGAAATAAGGTTGAGTGAAGTTTTTCTGACTTATTTCAATGCATTAATAATTTAGAGAATATAATTTGGCGTAAAATTAACCATAAAACTTCATTTTACATATAATGTTTATAGTAAACACAATTAGGTAAATTATATAGAAAATTAGGAATTCTCATCAGTCATTAGTATCACTTTACTTTATATTTCTCAACTCAAGCCGATGTTCAATCCGTCGTTTGATTAGCCATTCATAATATATCATTTGTTTGTTGAAATGTAACCATCAGAGTAACGTATTTAGTCATCCGTTTTAATGCACTAAAAAGTGGCTTTTTCATCTTAGTCTCAGATTGAAACGTCTAAATTTAATGGGTTATACGGGTTTTAAAATTATTTTCAATAACTTATAACATTAGTAATGTTCAAACATAAATACGAAGTGGGGTACGAGAAACATTCAAGTCTAGGCACTTGAAAAAATAATCTAAAATCTCCTGACATAACACATTATTTCATAATTTTAAAATAACTTGCAATCGTAAACGGAGCAAACAGAATCATGTTATTCACATAACAATTGAATTATGTAATGAGAATTCTTTCCAGATATTGAACATAACTATGACAATTTTTAAAATAATCATAGGTAAAGTAACTCCCTAAGTAAATTATTCAATGAAAAGCAGCATATATACATTAAACATTATGTACTTACTGAATGAAATTTTAAAACGGAAGCAGTTTCATTTATTACACTTGATTGAAAAATATCACTGACTGTAAGTAGGTTTTCGAAAATCACATTTTTCGACACTAACAGCTTCACTGCTTCTTGATCTAAAGAAAAACCCCAGGAAAATAACACCAGATATAAGGCAAATAACTTAGAATTACAAATCAAACAATAATGTTAATAAATGTAAGGTTATTGAGAGAACACAATACTCGTTACTTCACTTTAATTATTATAACATGCAAATATTATTTAATCAATAAGATCACCTAAATCGTCTTTCATATAGGAATTTATAATTATTTAATATGCCCAGATTTAAAGTACTTTGTTTTATCATGCAACCTATAATCTTACAAATTCTGTGCTCTTTGAATGTCACTGTACCTTGCAATGTACTGAACTTGATCACTTTGAAAGATTTATGTGTAAAATGGACTAGATCTAATCGTTAGTTATTTAATGGAATTATTCTGAGTAGATAATATGACCAAATTATTAAGTTGTTCATACTCTGTGCAGCTGAAATTACTCAAATTACTGTATTTTAAATATAAATTATTTGACTCAACTGCTTACTAATGTAAAATGAGTGAAATGTTTAAAAGAAACAGTCCATTTGTTTATTTCATATGATAACTAAGCTTCTTTCTTACACATATGCCGTTTTATTGATTTTAAAACATTTTATTAATCTTTGTACATTCAGTAGTTAATCTAAGCTTAAGTACCTATTATTAATAGATCACTGACGAGGTTAATAGTTTGATAGTAATATTGTTATTGATAAGTGCCAAGTTTGTTTGAGCACCACTTAAAATAAAAATCCTTACTCCAAAAACTATCAAATGATATACATCAAATATTAATATGTGCTAAAGCGTCAATTACTTCTCAATGTTCGATATACATTGTATACAAGTTGAACTACAATATAATGCAGATTGTATTTTAAAAGTTTAGGCTGTTTACGATGCTAGTTGAGAAATAAATTGTTTGTTATCTGTAATTAAATTTAGTTGATAAAAACATTTAAGGTGTCGGACATATACTTTTTTATTTGACCAAATATCCTAAAACAAATACTCAACTATTATTTTCATTTACTAAGTATCTTCATGAAAAAAAAACGTGTTTCGATATTTTAAAAATATTTAAACAAATTTATGTTAGCAACATGAAATGAACATTTTGGTTGGCATGCACGGTTTTGGAAATGAGTTTTTAACGTCAGTCTGAATCGTACAAGAGTATAATTTGAATAGGGCCACATTTCTACAATTGAAGAACATATGGAACTCAAAACAATTTTCAACTAACATCAAGTTCAGAATCTTCAATATGAACTTTGAAGCAGTTATACTGTACAGAGCTAAAACATGAAGAACTACAACTACCATCATCAAGAAGGTACAAATATTTATAAATGGTTGTCTACGCAAGATACTCAACATCCATTGGCTAGATACCATCAGCAACGGCCTTCTCTGGGAGAAAACAAATCAACTTCCAGCTGAAGAAGAAATTTGGAAAAGATGATGGAAATGGAAAGGACATACATTACGTAAAATCATCAAACTACATCACGAGACAAGCTCTAACTTGGAATCCTGAAGGTAAACGGAAAAGAGAAGGTCAAAAAGCACATTACTTTAGTAAATAGAATCAGACATGAAAATGATGAATAACAACTGAAAAGAGCTGGAAAGAATTGCACAGGACAGGGTTGGATGGCGGGTGCTGGTGAGCGGCCTATGCTCCTTCACGAGGAGTAACAGGCGTAAGTAAGTATAATATCAATCCATTTGATCAACTGAAAACATAAAAGGAAATGTAAATAAAGGTTTTTTTCAGTAGCTTACTTTTTAGCTTAATTTGATACTGTTTGGTGTTTCCAATAGTATTCATATTAATAAATATATCTGAAATTAAATAAAATTTGAATATTTATATGAAGCAATAAAATTGTGAGTTTATTATTTTAAATAAGGAACTAGTTTTGCCGTATAAAATATGCACATTACTGAATTATAATATAAACTATCATGGTGTTGTTTACCTGTATCTTCTCATTGTAATTTGGGACTGCAATTGATCACTTTTTTGTTGGCATATGTTCATCATGTGCAGACTGCTTCGATATTGCTTTAGGTCACAAGCTTTATCAGAAAAGATGGATAATGGATAGCAGTGGAATCCAGACGCGCGTTTTGTTCTATTTGGGACTTGTCAGCTGGATGTACCTGCGTTGATATTCATTCTAGGACTCGAACTCAGTACCGTTCGCTTCAAACTATCATGGTTTGATATCATCTTAAGAACTAAGGTCTCATTATATCTACAAATCAATGATTTTCTTCTAATCTAATCATATAGTTTAAATTTAGTACAGAATACTTTGGAAAATTTTGTATGAAATTTTTAACAACTGGCTGTTTGCCTAAAACTTTATTAATCAAAACATAATGCTATACTGAACCACATGACTACAATTCTTCAGTCTAATCATCATTGTTTATCACAAACGTTTGATATTGTTTCCGTATATCTTATTTATCAAAAGTCATAATACAAACTTAAGGTCTCATATTTGAAAGGTGATAGACAGTTGTTAATTAATTGATTTCACTTCATATACCTATAAAATTACCACATTTGTCTGTACTGAAATCGGTGAAATGTTGTAATGAAGACAAGACCAAGTAGAGACAAGTCGAATAACATCAATAAAATGAAGTTACGACCGTTAACAAAGATAAATCCTATGACAATGATAAAGACAAAAAGATTTCAATGATAAGATACTTTCTCAGTACATAGCATATCAAGCAAATAAAATGGAATGTGTATTTCGTACAAAAATTTAGTCTGAGGAAAGGTTTGACCTAGTTTAACTACGAAGACAGTATAATATTTCATAGGATTATAATAATTTGTTGAATCTTATAACTTTTCAGCTGGTATTTATAAATTAAAATATGCAAAAGTTATATGTTATCCAATATATATTTAATTTAATAGTTGAGTACATGAGTCAATTGAAATTGGTTCACCATGGAAAACCTGGAAGCATGGGACGGCCGTTTAGTCCTGTTATGGGTTTTCCTCAGGAGTGCGCATCCACAATCCCGCACACGAGGCTCGAACCCAGGACCTTCGATCTCGCGAGTGAACTCTCCACCTCTAATCTATTGAAACGGCACTCAACGGTATTAATGTCTAAGTTTAATCAATCCACGAAATTACACCACTGTTTATCTATAAATGCCCCGTATTTTTATGTGTTCTTGTTTCACGAATATATAAGAAATATTTACACATGACTATTTTCAAACAAAGAATTTTTTTGTAAAACCTTTTTATTTGAAAATATATGTGATTCAGAGACTTTGTAATGGATCTATATTAATCAATAAGTAATCAATTTTATTATCAATAAGTCAATAAAGTATCAATCGTTAGTAACTTAATGATTGAAAAACAATGAATAAATAACATGTACTTTTGCCATGAACTGATCTAATCAATAAAATAAACATCTGTTCGTCTTTGTGGCCCATAGAATAATGAAAGTGATGTTTAACATTGAGTTACGTAAAGCGTAAAAAAATGAACAATACATTTTAAAGATGAGGTAAACTACATGACATTTATGTATTGCATTTCTTCAATAATTCGAAACAAAAAAGATACTACATATTCTCTATTCATTTAACTATTCACCGTTTACAGTTAACGACTAAGTGCTCGCGCGCGAAACCAGTAGGTCCTGGATTCGAATCGTGGATGCGAACCGCTGAAGAGTCCCACGATAGGACGAAACGGCCATCCAGTGCTTCCAGGTTTTCCATGGTGGTCTAGCTTCAACCGACTCATGATATTAACCATTGAACTTACTATAATATCCACATAACCCATCTGAAATTAAAATTCTTTTCTGATGATATACAAGTATAAAATATTTTGCATACAAATATACTAATATACTTCTTCAAAATAACAAATACCGCTATTATATTTAGTCTATTAAAGTGTATATTAAATCTTATATCGAAGTTGACAAATGTTTATATTTATTTGTATTAAACAAGAGAATAATAAATTCATTCAATTAAATAATTAATAAACGAACTACCATTCCTCCAAAATTGTCATATCTACCGGCAAGAATCTATATGCAAAAACGGCTACATTGATTGGTATTAATGATTTTTCTTTTTACAGTAATGAGTTTTAGATACTGAAGCGTGAAGGCTTTATAATTAGCATAAATAATTGTAGTGAAAATTGATTCAGGTATGGATTTATATTTTGATTTTAATTTCAAATAATCAATTGTATTTACAATTGTTTGATCACTGGCTGGTGATCAATGTCATGTTGTTCTTAGTGTAGGACGAATCCTAACGATAAATTTTTAGTGTGGTCACTAATCTAGGTGATTTGACATTGCATGCACTATGTTGAAGTTGGGTGACACAGGATCGGATCTATGAGGAAACATCAGTTCCCTCAAGATTTCAGGTACACCTTGCTGATAAGTACCAGGTGGCACGTAACCTAGGCTGAGGATTTCCTGATCACTACCTCCAATCACCACCTTCACACAATTGTATCTTACTTTTATTCAATCCTTCGAATTATTTTAAATGTTTTTTTGATTATATTTGTTAATTAGACTGTCATACAGTAGTCACTCGTTCATACATCTATTGTCTTTTGAGTTTATTTTACATTTTTATTAATAAGCGCTGACAAATAATTATTAACAAATGAGATATTCTGTTGTCTAACGGCAGTTTAAATTATTTGTATTGTTTGTTATTGGACTGTAAATTGAAGAACTATCTACAGAAATGAAAAGACTGTAACAAAACAAAATCACTTTTGTTTGTTAAGTATTCTTCATAAATGTTTCCATGACTGCCTGAAATGATTGAAGGTAAGATGTTTTGTTGACAGTTAATTGTAAACATTAATCTTTAGATGCATTCGTTTGTGTTACTGAAAAAGTTCAGTATCTATAATTCAACTGAAAAGTCTAGTACAGTTTATTAAACAAAAATGTTTTACTGTTCAACCAAAGACCATAATAAATGTCAGTAAATGTATATCCATTGACTAGCATGGACAAATAAACAGAAATTATACTAAATATAGTCATCTTTTAGAAATATAAAAGAATCATATTTAAACTAATCAGTATTCATCTAGCAAATCCGTTCCTTTTGTAATCTGTAACTTATCGAAAGATATTTGTTCACTGACGAAGCCAATGTTAAT